CACCGGAAGTAGCATATGCTAACGTGCACATAGTCAATAAACTGAAGTTTAATGACGATGGACAGCAGCCGGAAATCTTTGCAAACTATTAAAAAAACCGGCATATTAATGACTTGTTGTAAAGCTGTAAAAGTGCTGGTAAATCATTAATTAACTTTCAATTGAGCCTTTTTGCATCTTAGAAGGTGAAAAGACTAATTGTGTTTTATTACTATCCTTTCAACGATCATTGCCATAAACTGTGCCATTGTCACGATTTTAACTGTCAACCAAAAGTGACACATCCCTCTACAGGATCCCGCCCAGCTGAGGTCTGATTGGTCGTTTTCCGACGTCGTTGCTCTTCATTGGCTCATGCAGTGCCACTCAGCATCTCACCACTGCTGTGAGTCTGTGCGGCTCAAAAAGAAATCATATTTTTTGTAGAGCGGGGAGCAGCTCGTCTTTGGCCGGCGGGGTTGCTTATTTGCGGGGGTGTTTTTAGTTTGTCTTGGCTGCTAGGGGGTGCTTATGGATCTTTATTGCGTAAAGAAGAGGCAGTGAGTCAGTATTTGCTGCAGAATGGTATTACGAAAAAGGCTAAAATGGTGCCTTTGCAGCAGGGGTATTAATTTTGCCGGTGCCTTGTAGCCGTAGTGCAAGTTAGCTTATGAACAGCAGAACGTTAGCCGACTAGCTAATGCTAGGTCTTTCGTTTCCTTTGGCTTGTCAGGACAGTTTATTGTTTTATCCCTCCCTCTTTAAAGCTGGGCTTTTGCTCTTTACTTTGCTGGCTGTGGTCCATTTTTCGTTGCTTCCCGCGGTTAAAAAAGACACCGGAATGAAGCGTGTGAACAGCTTTCAGAGGTAAGCGGAAATCTGAAAAACGAAAAATGCTGTTTTGGTTGTGCCTGGATGAGATTGGAGAAAATACAGGGAGATTTTAATGCTACATACTTTTATAAAGCACTCACGTGTTTAGGTTCCTCTTCCTGGCCGTTAGCAAAGAGCTGTTTTCGACAAACGAAAGGAACTTTCACTTTAAATATCGAAACGTTTAAAATTTAACAAGCTAGTGCTAAACTGTGATTTAAAATGAGTAATTCAGTCTACGAGTGCTAATAAATTATTTTTCGACTTACATCTTACACTGTTTTCTGCGTTATATGTAATATTAATTTGAATCTTTTGGTTCGGAGACAGTAAAATAAGCTAATGGCAGATGTTGTTGTTAATTCTAGACTATTTAATTTGATCACACTGAGCCACTGTTTATAATGATTTGGTTTATTTTTTAAATAAAGTTTAAAACAAAATCATAATTTACTTGAAACTGTGTACAGACTTTTTTCAGTGCAGGAGAGTAAGTGTGATTTGAGCAGTATTTGCATTTTCAGTGTTAAGAAAAATATATTTCTAAGCGTTAAATGTGAGAATATTGTTGTTTATCTGTCTGCTAGTATTTCTTTTTTTGTACTTGGAAGGTAGGATAGCTCTAATGATAAGAATAAAGGCCAGGCACATATATAAGCACATATACAACATGTAACCTATGTTAATTGTTTTGCACGGGTTGTGTAACATGTGTTTTTAGGGACATCCACAGCTCAAACTTTGTCTCCACCTGAGCTGTCCCTCTGATGTAATTAAATTCCTCTCTTAAAGCGCAGATACTGAAGGGTGGGTTTGTCGGTGAGGTGCCGTGGGGTCTTTTAATGTTTTGTTCTGTTTGTTTTTGTGTGCGTTTCAGGTTCATGAACAGACGGGCCTCTGCAAACTGCCGCTACCAGCCTACCTGCTACGAGCATGCTGCAAACTTTTACACCCATGCAGTGAGTGGCTCCAAACTGTTTAGGCCTCCGTGTAATTTCACAGTTGCTCTTTAACTGTCTTAATAATTTATTTATTCTGTGATTTCTCCCTCATCCTTGCAGCTCCTCATCGTGCCAGCCTTCGTGGGGATGACGCTGCTGCACTGTCTGTCGGACAACCGCTGGGAGAGGATCACGGCCTGGGTGTACGGCATGGGCCTGTGTGCCCTCTTCCTCGTCTCCACCGTGTTTCATATCATCACCTGGAAGAAGAGTCACATGAGGTGAGGACTGAAGCATTAATAAGCACTCAGGCAGAAGATTCATGTCAGAAATACTCGTGGGTGTGTTTTTGTATTAGTTTTGTTCCAGTGTTTCCAAAGTGGAGCGTTTAATCTGCACAGGCTCTTTTATTTTTGGAAATTGCCCGCATTCTCTGTGCCATTTCTCTGACTTCCTGTCCTCATCATCTGCTTCGTGCATCCATTAAAAAAATAATCTGGTGCTATTTTAAGTGATGCAAAGGAGACGGACCCTTATGGCCCACTTCTAATCTGTGCTTGAGGTCATCTCATGGAGTTTCAAGTATTACCTCGAGTGACTGTTCTAATAAAAGCTTTCATACGTACGATCAGTCTCCGTATATCGTCAGCTTTTTGGAAAAGACACGTTTGGACAGTGTGACAAAGTGGCTAGGACAGAATTCATTTGCCATTTGTCACTTGCATATATTGTTATTTTGTGTTCTGTTATTTTACGGTCAGCCATTGCTGGTGTACCTTCTCTTAACACACACTATCCCGGGTTTTGTTTGTAGTAGCAGTAGTTACATCCTTTACATCAATGCATGTGTTTTAAAGCAAACACTACTAACCATCAGATCATCTGAATTTTCTTCTGTTTACAGGCAAATGTCTGGTAAATTAGGTTTCTTTATGTTGCTTTGGTTATACTTACCATAGTGTCCATGTTGTGTATTCAGGTCCTATGTGTGAGACAGGTGTATGGAAGGGCCGCCCACTACTTCCTGTTTATATAGGGTCACGAGGTCAATGATTGCATCACTGGGTGTAACCAAATGGAGGGTTTTTCATTTTGTATAGTATTGTTTATTTTCTTTAAAGTAGCCTTTTGAGTTATATTGTATGCAGTGTTTTACTTTACAAACCATTTAGTTGAGTAAATGAGTTTGTCAGTTTCATGCATGACTTTATTCCTGTTCTTTGTTTAGAATTGTATTATTTGGTTTGACCTATTTGTTTCAATGGTAGGGACTAACGAGGTCAGGTGTGGGCAAAGTCCTGTATAAAGCCAGTGGGATTTTTGCATGCCTGATTGATTGTTTTATGGTAAAATGGAGATGCCAGCAATAAAATATGCTTAAAAGAACTTCAATCGTCTGCTAATGCTATTTACTTATCACCTTCCTTGCTGCTTAAGTTATGCTACATCACAGACAGTCCTTTGTTTTCTTGTTATTAAATAATTAAAATATGATGATGATATTTGGTGTGAGCTAAATGAATAAAATCAACATTCTTTGTTGCTTTGCTTTCACAAATACTTTGTTTTTTGTAGGTAGTTGTACGCTGCCATCTTTCTTCTCATCCATCGGCCATTTTTCTGTCATTCTATCATTTTTGCTCCGGTTTTCACTGTGCAGGACATAATGCTACATATTCAGACGCCGCTGCAAATTACAACATTACTGTGTATCGAGTAATGCTTTTCTTTCGTTAGCGTGTTTGTGTTCTTCACGAGGTTTCACACTTCATGCCAGGCTCTTTCTGTTTCATTATTTCTTTTGCTTTTTTTTAATCGTGTGAGTGGCTGTGGCGCTTCTCATACTTTGATACTGTGAAATGTTGACCTGTTCTGGTCACTCGTATGTCCCATCTTCTTTTGTTTACCTTTAGCGTGTTAGCAAATTCACTGTGTTTGCATTTGCGTCACGCTGCAGACAAATGACCTGCGACCTCATTGTTATTTTTTTTTTTGTGGTTCTTTGTCTGTCCTGCTCAGACAATAATTTCCATACACTTGCAAATTACTCACTGCTGGTATGGAAACACAATCTCACTTCCTGTTAGGCGGAAATGTTTTGAAAATGATGGTTGTTGAGGAAAAAGGCTTAAACCTGAGTGTCGTCTGTTTCAGGTCAGTGGAGCATTGCTTTCACATGTGTGACAGAGTGGTCATCTATTTCTTCATCGCTGCCTCCTACACACCTTGGTGAGTGTCAGACAGAGAGCATGTTATACTCCCCTGGACCTGAGTCATACACGGAGACTTGATCTAATTTGGATTTTCATCTTTATCCAGGTTGAACCTGCGTGAGCTGGGCCCCCTCGCAGCACACATGCGCTGGTTTGTGTGGCTCATGGCTGCGGCTGGAACCATTTATGTCTTCAACTACCATGAAAAGTGAGTTTATGTCACAGTGAGCTCAGAGTATTTTTCACTCTTCATTCTTTTTTACATTTTATGGAGAAAGCCAAGAAAGAAAAATCACACTAGCTAGAAATGTCTTTCTGTGTTAGTCTGAAGTAACCACAGCGCTTCGAAACTCTTCCCTGGATACAAAACAATCTCAAAACTCTACACTCATGCCCGAAAATCCGTTTTCCTCATGATTTCACTTTGTCACATCCTCCAAACGCCGCCTGTGTCAGATCTGATCATCTCCCCGCCTTGCTTGTGTTTCACATTTCCTTTGCATCGCACAGACCTCGTAAACGCACACTTTTTGTCTCCACAGGTATAAACTCGTTGAGCTGGCCTTCTATTTGACGATGGGATTTTTTCCCGCATCTGTGGTGACATCAATGGTAATATATATTTTTATTGATACAAGCACATTTAGCTTAAGTCTTAAACCCTCACATCACTTCTTCATCTCAGCCGATAAACCGAACATGCGGCAGCTGCAGGGTGGAGCTGTTAGCTGTGTGTCTTACTTCCTCTTTAGAGTGTTTGACAAGAGTTCACAGAAAACAAACGATGCATTTAAAGTTTTCTTTGTGATTTAATGATTCATATAAAACCATTCAGAGCTGCAAAAATCGTCGTCTTTGTTTTAATCTCTGCTTCTACTGGTCTCAGTGGAAATAGCAGCCACATATCTCAGTAATCCTTTTCTGTGCATGCTGCATGTTTTATTGTTAATATTTTTGCAGGATTTTGTGGTGCTTTGTTGGTTTGTGTGCACTTTCTGATATTTCATTATGTCCATTGGCTCCTGTTATGTCCTGCACACTTTACTCGGGTTCGCTGCTCAGCTGTAGTGAGTCATTCTTGCAAAGTTATTTTCAACTTTGTCTTCCGTCTGTGAAAACGACGCCGTCCACGATGCGCTTACAAAAAACGGTTTACTCAATCTCATGTTGAGGGTTCAGCTGCTACAAACCAGCTGCCTGATTCTTCCT